GCGAGTTGCAGAAAGTCAAACGTTTGTCACCTCCGATCTGAATTACAGGCCTTGCCTGTGGGGAAGGGGTGATACTTCCGACACCGGCGGTGAAAGGAGGCACAGATAGCTGTGCATACCACTTGTCTCCTAAGCTTAGTATGGAGCTGCAGCATCTTGAGCTTCTGTACTACTGTTGGGAACTGGGAGGCTGAGTGCAGACAGGAGATGAAAACAGTGTCTTGGCTACGCCCTTGAGCCACTCGGCCTTTCAAATCAAACTCGAATTCAGTTTGCGCCTATTGCCAGTCACCTAAAAGTTGGCATTTTTGGAATAGGGGCGTTCTAGAGCTGATGGTAGCGAGTGTATAAAGGGGTTTGCGAGCTGCCTGGGCAGGCGGTGCTTGCTTGCAGGATGCTTTGGAAAGGCAGAAATAACATGGATTTTTGCAGGACCTTCAGTGAAGAGTAGTCACCTACATACTGTGCTCTGAAATACACTGATGCAGCGTGGTGGTTCTTGCAGTAATGCAGTGTCTTGGTTTACTGGTGGAGTATTGAATCTCCCTGCAGCCTTCAAGAGTGAGGCTTAAGGGTGGAGATCTTGTCTGTCACCATAACACTGAAGTAATTTCGTCATTGCTGGTAGCGTGGTCTCCGTGCAAGACCTAGTTGTGAACAATCTTCTCTGACGAGTGCAAGGCAACAAAGTTTATATTTTGTTTTGAAATGAGGCTTTACCTGCTTCCATCGTATGGGGGTTACTTTTGTAAATGGTAAGTTTTATAAATGCTTTTCACACTAATAGCTTAGTAAATCGCTGGATAAGAAGTTGCATACTTAAAAAGGTAAATATTGGTAAAACTTACAGAAGGCTCTTGCTTTATGTACTACTGCTGTTTTTGAAAGGAGGCTAGTTACTTAGAAGGATTGGTTGTTTGGCATAATATGTAAACTCTGTTCCTCTGGATTAAATGTGGACGAGCTCTACTTCAGGTTGGCCAAGCGCAGACTATCTTGCTCCTTGTTGATGTCTGCTTTGGTGCCGTGAAGCTGGCTTTAGCATTCTGGATGCATTTGTAAGAGGCTTTACTTGTAAACTTGTACATTTACTTGCAATTTGACTATTACATAGCAAAAATGCTATGGTTTAGCTTTTTTTTTTTTAATTTTCCTTACAGCTTGTTCAAAAGTCTGGGAAATAGAAGAATCCATAACTGGAAATACTCTTACAATACTCCAGGCTGAGGTGGAGGTGCTGCTTACTAAACCGGCAGAAAACATCTGCCCTTTGGGGCCGAGTTAGTTTTTTGTCATCTTGGTGAGCCAAACCGGCGTGTGCGTGGTCGGGCAAGGACCAGAGTTGGCACAAAGGGGGTGCAGGGATAGATGGACTACCACTTCTGTTGCCAGCTGAGGTCTCTACCTTGTTGATCTGCAAGTGTTGCCTAGTAATGGGCTTTAGATAAACCATTGGAAGGTGGAAACTTTGGCTTTGGGGAAGCAGGACATCTGGGTTTGATTTCAAATCCTGCTGCTCATGACTTAGAGGGCTAAGTATGTGTTTACTCCATCCTTTTCCCCTTGGTAAATTATGGGGTTCTTCCTGAGAGCTTGTAAATATTCAGCACCTGCATAATGACACATTTTTACCTCAAAACATGTGCCATTAAATACAGGCCCAAAGAGAAGGTAGCATCTCTGGTTTTGGGTAGGCTCTTGCTAACTCTAAATTTGTCTGTGGGAAGTGGGTGGATTTTCCATTTCCCCTGAAGCAAGTAAGAAAGGCTTTGCCATAAGGACTGGGAGTATGTGGACTAAGTTCTCTTTCAGTTGAAGAAATAAAAGATCTTGAGGAGCTACGTGTGTTACATATTCTTTTTGCATACTATTTTGTTACTAATTATGTTGTTTATGCTTGGAGAAGAAAGGTGGGTTTTGGTGGAGTTTTTTTGATTCCTAGGGAAGAATTTGTATTCTGACTAACTTTCTTTTCTTCGTGCACCTTATGTCCTATCTTTGAATTGGCTGGATTTTTTCACAGTTCACATTACTTTCAGAACAATAGTTCCAGGCAAAGTTATGGTGCTGAACAAGTGTGTTTTGTTCTTTTTATTGACCCAACCTTAATATATTCAAATACTTAAATATTTTTTCTTGGTATGGATCTGTTTTTAATAAACCAGCATGCACAATGCCAGGGTTGGCAGGGAAATGAACGCAGTTATTTTGGAAAATTGTTTCTCTGTCGTTTGAGAGGCAGCCTGTACCTATTTGGATTTTTCAGCAAGTGTTGAAGTTGGGGTAACAAACGTAGGCTGTGTTGGCTCTGTCGATTCAAGATGTGGCCTACCTGAGCAGAGCAAGAGCTGGACAATCCCTGACTCTTTTTTGTTCCAGAAATCATTTGTGCCTTTCTTAAAACTGGAAGGTAATTGGGTGAGTAAGCGTTAAACATGAGAGGTGCTGATGAAAGTGAGAGACTCTGAGAATACCAAAGGCAGGAGAACTTTTAAACTTTTAATATATTTCCAAATTTAGACAGGGCTGAAGAGGGTAGAGGGTGTCTTGGTAATTCAGATACAATTAATGTTATGTTGATGCTTTATTTTGAAGCATCTGAAGCCTGAAAAAGGTTGTTTGGGGCTTATTAGTATTATTGCCATGTTCTGCCTATGCAGTCTCTTCTGTTGTTCGCTCTCTGTATGCTGTATTTCTGATTAGAAGTTGTAGTCGAAATTTGTACAGACAGGAACTCGAATGAAAAGCTCTAAAAGCAAATGTGTTTCATATCCAGAATTAAAAATGTCACATTGCTATGTTACTGGATCTAGATCTCTCACGAATACTGTGCTGAGCCATTTTGGGAGGACGCTTCAAATGTGTGGTGTTCCCCCAGCTGATCACGCTCCTCGTGTGGGTTCTGCAAGCTGATCTCTCTTATTCATGGTGTTTAAAAAAAAAAAGAAAGAGAGGGGGCATTTTGTTGAAATGCTTGGTTTGAGAGGTCCTGTTAACCTGTAAGGTAGATTTGGAAGATCATGGGTAGGTGAGGATAGTGGTAAGTAAATGACCAAATGAGGGAGAGTGACATGGGATGCACTAAGTTTTGGTTTGGTTTTTTTAACCTCCTTTGCTAATAACATCACAGGCTTTTCTAACTTTTCACTCACAATAATGCCATCTCTGACCCTTCACTTCATTTGGTGGAAGCTGATTATTGTTAAATTTGATAGCTTTCGCCAGTTTTGCCTCTGAAAGAACATATGGGAGAAATGTATTAAATTAAAAAAGAAAAAAGCTTGGAGGAGGAGGTGGCAGAGGTAAACAGGTGTACTCAGAAACAGCTTGGCACTATCTATTTCGGGGATGCTCCTGTAAAAGTGTTGGCATGCTTAATGGCAAGGAAGAAGAGGCCTCTGCATTTCAGCATTTGTGAAGTCCAAGTCTCAGTACTAATGAACGGCTTAGATAAAAGGAAAGTAGCTCTGCCAGCTAATAGATGACTGTAGTCCAGAGTTTGTGTGCTTTATCTCGCTTCCAAGCCAATTTCATAGAATACTGTAATAGTTAATCACATCCCGCTGGATTACAGCACGTGCTGCTCTACCCCTCTTAGCTTGGTAACTTGCCTCCAATTTTTAATGGTAAACCCTGAGTAGGTTTTCTGTTCTTGGAGGTAAACCTTTTCACAGCAAACCTCACCCGCTGGTGGAGGAAGCTGAAGGCAGTTCGTGGCAGGCCCTGAGCGTGGCAGTGTGTAGCTTGTCCCTGGACAGCTTTCTCCCCGCACGGCCGTTTGTGTGCAGTTGCCTCCCAGACTTTGCCACAAGTTTGTATCTTGAGGCAACTCCGTTTGTGTAGCCGGGATGCCGGCCAGATGCCGTAAATGTTTATACAACAACAGCGAATGAAAATCCCTTTACATTCTGCACGGCTTCCAGATGTCTGTGTATTGTGGGGATTTTTTTTGTGTGGCGTTTGTGTTGGATTCCACCTTTCTCTTTGGAGATGTTTATCTTGGGTTGAAAGACCAACTTGGCACGTCTCTTCTGGTGTTGGCATTTTCGTGTCAACGTGAGCTGTGGACAAAGCATCAGGTGTGTGTGCGTTGGGGAGGTTGGGCACTAACGATGCTGGTCTGTGCCCTTCAGAGCTTGGAGAAGGTCTGTGACTACATAGCCTCGCAGAATTGTTAGCTAATTTTTTTTTTATTGCTGCATGTTGTAATTTAGCCAGCGAAATCTAGGCTATGAAGCAGCCCTATCCTAAAACGTATGCCTGAAAGATGCTTAACATTGCTTATAGACTGTATAGCCGTAAGTGAGCTAGCTTTAGGGCTTGACAAGAGGAATATTTGGGACAGCATGGGCATCAGACATTGAGTGTTAACCCGGGGGGCTACCTAGTCCATAGCTGCCTGTGTTCCTGCAGTGTGTGGTACTACAAGTCTGCAATACTTCTAACATGGCTAAAAGTATCCCAGCTAGCTTCAGCGTAGCGGTGTGTGCTGCTGTCGTGCCTCTGGCCTGAGCTATGGATCTGGCAGCGCTGGGATAGGCTGTAGGTGTCTGGTTTTTCCATGCCTGAGTGCTGAAGGCTTGCTAAGCTGTGCTGCTGCAGTTCATGTGAACAGGCTGGTTTCGAGTATCGCAGTCTCTGCTCCAGTTGTGGTGGTTGCCCGCTGAGGTCCTGTCAGACACAAAATGCTGGTTGCCTGCTCATGTAAATCAGCAACCAAGGGCAATAGTACATAAAAACGCTTTCATTAGCAGCCCTGTGCTGTGCTGTGTTGCGCTAGTTTGATACCAATGCCCTGGATAGGAAAAGTGGCCTCAAGTTTGAAGAACAGGCTTGGGAGATTCTGAAGAGGCTGCTTCTGTATGAAGGGGTGTAATATTTTGGTGTTTTTCTTCCCCTGTCTGTTGCAGCAGACTAATTACTGATTGGACTTCAGGAACCTGAAGCCTGCTGA